GGGTTGAGAGCCGGAGTGGAGTCCATTCATAAATAGCGTATCTTAGGCAAGTAGATCTATCAAAGTCCACTCTTCTCGAGGCCAAATCATAATCTTAAAGGCTCACATTTATTGTGAACACGTAGTCATTGATTCCGATTGTAATGGATAGCGGCTTGTACTGAGGAATCGGAGAGCCGAGTTCGAATTCCATTCGAATCCAGTTGTATTCACTTACGTGCTAATACCCTTGGGAAGGGTGTGAATCCTCTTCTCTCCCTCCAGCTATGGGTAAATAGCGGGACAGACTGGGTTCTGTAGCCTTGGATGGCAATTGGTCTAGAAGAAGGACAACTCTGAAATCAAAACCTGCGGAGGGTCATTTGGGGACCTTGTGGCACGTAGTGCACCAGGTCTCTGTATTCGGCCCTTAAAAAAGTGTGGATTGTCCTGCACGAAACCTTCACCACTATAATCAAATCTCATGTGCCGGTGTCGGACTGTCTGTTTGCTTGGAACTGATCTGCTTGACCGTCATACGTCGAATTCGACGGGAGAGTCGTATATATATATATATATATATATATATATATATATATATATATGGGAGCATCCCATCTGGCTGTTGCTGTCAGTCTAGAAAGCCCAACAATGATCTTTCTGTACCAAACTGGCCGCTGACATAACTATGGAGTTCAGTCTACTCCCCACTGTACTAGATGGCCGTTAACCCCTAAAAAATGGTTCATCGATCCTTTCACGACAAAGAAAAACCTGGTGGGGAAACCAGTTTAGTCGACATTGCCGTAGTTACGTGGTACGAATAATACTTTTAGAAGGAACTGACATAAAGTTTTTGTTGCACTTCTGTCTAATCTGATCCTGTCGTTTTCAAGAGCTAGAATAAAACTTATTCATCTTGCCACCTCATTCCACTGATCGGTCAGTCTTAATACGTACGTCGCTCTTTACTACTTTCGTTATGATTTTATCTTGAATTAGAACAATGACCTTTGAAAAAAAATGACAGATTTGTATATCTTGAATAATCGGCTGCCGAAACCATTATCCGATTAGATTTGGTCCAATTTATACCACCATTGTAAAAATTGTGGTATTACATATGTATAACATACATAATTTTATTAGTCACATGAAGAAATCAAATTATTGGTTATACCGATCAATACAGGTAAACGTTTCATCTGTGCAGGATACAATCGCCGACCTGTGCGGATTGGCGAAGGTGCGGCAATAGATTTCGTCACTGCTTTCATTCATCAGATTTATACTAAAAAGAGTTGCTTAGCCATGATCTCCTTTTCAGGGATTATGCAATAGACGCTATCAGGTCCCATGTTGCAAAGAAGAATCTGGTATCTTCGTAGATGATTACAGGAGGGTTTATTGCTCATGCACGCAATTATCGACATATGTGTGCATGAATCGAGACATAAGATTTATTTAATCGACACCCACTCCCCCAAGAAGTCGCGTTGTGAAATAAGGTCGGTTTAATGTGGGGAGCCCGAGTACGTAGACCCGGTCTAGGAACAAAAATTCCCCCGTCGGTTGCGCTAGCCTCGGTGCGAGCACCGAACCCTCTCTCTAGTGCAATGAGAGGGCGCGGCCTCGGACAGCTATTCTCCAGAGCTGGGCACCTCTCTCTGTTGTGACTCTATCCTTTGACAGAAGCGCCCCTGAACGCACTTTGTCCGAAGACGAAGACACAACTGAAAGATGATAATAAACGTGTCACAAACTATCGAGACTTAAGAGAGTAGCCAATATGACTATCGACTGAAAATTGATCGCAACGAGAGTTGGACTTTTTCTTTTTTTCATCCCAATGGAGCGAGAAATCCGTTTTCAGATTTGATAATGACACGTATTTTCTTTATTGAGTCGGACACATTTTAATGACGGATTAACATCCGAAATGAGATAAATATCCAACGTAGGCATCAACTTCGCGGACGGCATCACAACTGACACTGTAAGAGACACCATCATACAAAAAAAACAGCCCCATTTGAAGGTTATCGTCGAGAAGAGAAGGTTGAAATGTTATGGACTCGTCACAAGCGCCAACAATCTTCCCACTGCCATACAACAAGCGACGCTACGACCACACCCAGTCATCGAACTGATCCTGATGATCATGATGATCATGATCACGATGAAAGGAAATTCCAAAATTTATTCTGCATATATGTAAACACAAAAAGTAATGCAGATCAACGTACATATATTTCAAATCCACTGCTTACACAAAACTTTTCCGTTTAATTACCGTCTTTTTACATAGTTTTTCTTTCCTTTATACAGGTTATCATTTACTATCATCTGTAACTTTAAGTGTTATTGCATTTCAGTTTCTATTTCCTCATTTTTTTTTTACTTTATCATGTTTCAAAGATTTTACTCTAACGATTACCAATCATTATTTATTTTTTCATTTTCTGTTCCTTATATTTTGATAAACTTTGATTAATTAAACAATGTTTTTAAGATAAAGAAGAAATTATCTTTAAATTGATATTGAGATCATCTATACTGCAGTACATTTCAAAATCAGAGACATTTTAATTTTTCTAATTCTTTTTAAAAACGAAAGGGATTCACGAAAATACTTGCGTTATGAATACGCAGGATATTCCACATGATGGATAGAAATTAGAGTAGACGACATGAAATTGTGACGATGTTTCAGTTGCTTTCGGAGTTTTAGAAATTGATCCAAGTTTCGCTTTATTAGTCGCATCGTTAAAATCCAACTTAGAACCTATAAATAAAGAACTTGTGCAAAGTTTATAAAGACAACTTTTTAACAAAAGATTGTAAGTGACAACATCAATGTGATGAAGGTAACATTAATGTGAATGTTATGCTTTGGGGGTCACTGACTTCATACCAGCAGAATAAATTTCGTAGCCTGACATCTAATTATTGGTACCCACCCGATTCATATGGAGGGAGCATGTCAGATGTTCATCTGCGCAGCGACCACACCCGGTAATGATGATCTTGATCACGATGAAACGAAGTTCCAAAACCTATTCTGCATATACGTGCCCGCAAAACGTAATGCAGATCAACATACATATATGAAGATAAATCAATAAGTTTCGTAGCCTGACATCTATGAGCTGATTTGGTTTGGTTTGTTTTACGGCATATCAATACCTCAATGGGCTATTTAATGCCGACTATATTTTTTATTGTTGGTAATATTTTTTTCCAAAAATGTAATGCTCGTAATATTTTTTTAGTTAATATACTAGTTATATTAGTATATTAACTAAATATATTATTATAATAATATATTTATTATATATATTTATTATAAATATATATATATATATATATTATAATATATTTATTATAAATATATTATTTTAATAATATATTATTATATTAGTTTACTAATATAGCTTATAATGATATTGCTAAGAACTATGGGTGAATGCATGCCAAAGACAAGTAACGATGAGGTTTCTATTGATGTGTATATAATAAAAAATCAAGTGTATTTTTTTTTACTGTACAGCACATTAATTCTAAGAGGAAAATGATGCAGTGCGACACGTCATCAAGCAAGAACCATTCCCATTGGAAAACCTCATAACATAAGTTCCAAAATTTATTCTGCATATATGTACCTCCAAAAAGTAATGCAGATCAACATACATATATGAAGATCAATAAATCATGGTAATTTTCTAAGCGTGAGCCACCCAGGCTTCAGATTTGACAATGGCACATATTTTCTTTATTGATACATTTTAATAACGGATTAACATCAGAAATGAAATGCAAAATATTCGTGGTAGGCATCAGCTTTGTGGAAAGCATTACAACTGACGCTGTAAGAGACACCATCATACAAAAAAACAGGTCCACTGGTATCATCGATAAGAGAAGGTTTTAAAGGTCACAAGCGCTAACAATCTTCCCACTGACATCCTACAAGGTACCCACTTAGGCAAAAAAAAAAAAAAAGAAGAGACAAACAGGGAGGTGGAAATGGGCTGACAACATCACTATGTGAACTAGAAGGTGTTTTGAGGAGACCTAAACATTGGCATACAACCAAGACATGTAAAGGGAGCTTGCCGGTTGCTCAACTGCGCAGTGATCCTGAGACCACATTCAGTCATGAAACTGGTGATGATGATGATCGCGGTGATTTTCTAAGCGAAATTCTCTTCGAAATTCTGGGTCACCCAGTGAGGATTGACGTCACTACTCAGTCGTAATTGGTCCTGCCAGACAAGCTTACTAACCATTACAACACGTCGAGTGGCCAAAAATGATGATTATGATCTGAAAAGAAAAGAAAACCAGAGGGTTATGGTGATTTTCTAAACGTCGCTTAGTGTGACACAAGGCTGAAAGTATGAGCCAGTCAGTAAGGATCGAACTCACTACTCAGTCGTAATTTTTCTAGCGAGACAAGCTTGCTAAGCATTGCATTATGTCGGGGTGCCCAAACATTATTTTTTTAGAAGACATTTAAATAAAGACTAGCTACAGTATGGGTCTGCGTGTGTGCTTGGATACAGTGGTGGGGTTTTATCATTAATAAAAAAAGATCTTCCTTCATTAACGACTGACAAAATGTTTTGACCATGTAATTTTTGCAATTGTTTTGCTATACATTTGTTAGCGAAGGATTCATGTCCCCTCTGTCATCCCGTGGGATAAAGGTGGCTCGTACAACCATTGCATGTATTTACTATCTATGGTTAGCTATCAATCGATTTCATTATACTTGGAAACCAATCTGCGGTCGGTAAGAAGGTCCAACACTATGCACACGCATGCCATAGCCATGTGTGTACGTAATTGTAAAGAAGGACAGTAAGAAAATTGAAAGAAATATACAAGTCCTATGCAACGAGATAACGGCTAGGATGTCTGAAGTGTTCTTGGAATGGTGAGAATGTGCTTGTTTCTCACAGAAGATAAATGTAAGGGTGGGTCGGAGCCGGAGGAGGGTGACGTGGGGCTCGGACCGTATGCCGATAAAAGGATTGCCAAGTGTGTTTGATAAAGAAACCAAGCGGCTTAGCGGCCCACAAACTGTCATGGATCAGAGAAGCCGCCCGCTAATACTACAAAGGAATTACGGTGCATTTCTTTACAGAGACTTCGATGGACACCATCGTCTTGTTGGTGGAGTGGTGAGGAGTTATAAACGGAGACAAAACAGTAACAGAGAAACATGCGTGGAAGGGGTAGAGTGTAGTGATGGTGGCTGGGGATTAAAAAATATCACGAGGATGGGTGTGCAGACTATTTTTTTTTCGATTGTCCTATCAATTGTGGAGATTGTACTATGGTGTAATGCAGATACACTTAATGTTGTTTTTGTCAAAATATGAATGACTGGATTTTCTCTTTTTCTTTAGTCAATTTATCTCATCGGTTTGTGTTTATCTACGTTTATCTATCTATCTATCTATCTATCTATCTATCTATCTATCTATCTATCTATCTACATAGATAGGTAGATATGAACAGATTATCTATCTATCTATCTATCTATCTATCTCATTCTGTTTCTATGCATGTATATATCTATGTATGTATCCTTCTCTTTCAGTCTGTTCTTTATCTATCTATCTATCTATCTATCTATCTATCTATCTATCTATCTATCTATCTATCTATCTATTTCACTTTGTTTTCATGTATGTATGTATCCATTTCTCTCAGTCTGTTTATATCTATCTATCTATCTATCTATCTATCTATCTATCTATCTATCTAGCCAAACCAAACCAGAACGTCCCGGGAAGCAGATAGATTTCTGGGAATAGTTCCTAGTGTGTAGGCCACAAAAGCTTCCGCTTGACACATTTCTTTATTTTGTCCCTTTAGATTTTTGCTCCCTCTGTATTTTCTGCATAATGCCGCATCTCAGGGTACCCCAACGTCTACAGGATCCATTAATGATTGCCCGTGTGCACAAGTGTGATATCAGGATGATTTCTCTCCAAGCTCTTGTCAGCCAAGATGGTCGGATCCCACATGAGCTTCGCTTGTGTTTGTTTCATAAATTCCTGACTCATCCGATTTGAAACATCCTCCTTTCTAGATGGCAATCAGATCCGAGATAATATAATCATTATCATTAGTAGTAGTAGTTGTCGTCCTATTAGTAGTATTAGTAGTTTTAGTACATTTCAGTCAGTTATGTGCCATGCGTTATACACGCTTAGGCGATCATGTATCTTTCGATATATGACTGACGAGACAGATTTTTTCCCGCTGTAGGTTGCCAATTCTGTCTGCAGTAGACCAGTTGCCATCCAAGGCTATAGAACCCGGTCTGTCCTACTATTTACAAATAGCTTGGGGAAGAAGAAGAGAATCCATACCTTTCTCAAGGGCATTAGCACGTAAGTCAATCTAATGGATTCGACTGGAATTCGAACTCGGCTCTACCGATTACTTCACCGTGCCTCCTTTAGTCAGTTATGTACCATGAATGATACACACTTGGGCGATCATGTATCTTTCGATACATGACTGACGAGGTAGATTTTTCCCCGCAGTAGGTTGCCATTTCTTTCTACGGTAGACCATTTGCAATCCAAGGCTATAGAACCCGGTCTGTCCTGCTATTTACCCATAGATGTGGCGAGGTGGGGGGAGAATATGGAAAATTAATCAATCGTTCTATTATCACCTACCGGATCTTTATCAACATTTAAGACTATGAAAGAAAAAAATCACATCCATTTGTCTTTATTTCATCATTTATTTAAAAACACTTAAAATTTATTTAATAACACTTATAATTTATTTAAAAGCACTTATAATTTTCATATTTATACATAAATATATCGTTTTAATTCAGACTTAGAATATTGAGAATACAAAATTGACTTCAGTATTTCCAGAAAGTTCTAGATCGAACCAGAACGGCCACATAGAGCTACAGTTTACTTTAATTTTTTGATTGTTTTGTTTAGCGGCATATCAATACCTCTATGGGTTATTTAATGCTGAAATCTAAATATTTTGAACACAATTTTATAGCTTTAACTAAATATATGTTCAATGCAATTGTATGCCTTCAACGAAAATGCATTGTTGGTCTTTTTTTTAAAATAAAATGTGTTGTTGGTGATTCTACTATACGATAAATTGCAGGTCGTTTGGCTTTCAAAATGTATTGTCGATAATTTGACTGTAAATATGTTTTGTTTCGTGGTTTCTTTCAGATTAAGGGTTCACTATTTGCCCATAGCGGGGACCCTAACGGGTGGTACCAACATGGGTTAGGGTGGACCTGGGGACACCAGCAATTAAGAGATGGCTCCGCGCTCCTCAAAATATTCCAATCAGAGATTTTGTTAGTGGATGGAGTTTGACGTCATACCAAAGAATGGAACAACTTTTAAAATAAGATTGGCTGATTTAGGTTGTAAATGCGGAAACTCAATTCTGAATTGAAAGGGTTTCCAAATGCATAGCTACTTTCTTTAATCGTCGCCCAATCGAACAACTCCGGATAGCCAGGTGCTACGTTCTGTGAACGGTTCTCTGAGGCTAACCAGAGAGACAACGTTTGGACCTAATGAGCCAACACTGCACCAACAAGAAATGAGCTAATTTGCTTATTAGACACAAAAGTAAGTTCTTTTTTTGGTGTCATGCTTTACTAAAAGGTGTAAGTGGCGAGAACTTTAGTGCCATTTCCTGTTAGAAAGAAAATGAAAATTGGGAGTGGATGTAAAGAAAGAAAAGGAAAAACAATGATAGAGAAAAAGAAAAAGAAGCAAGAAAAAAAAAAAGAAGAAAAAACGAAAAAAAGAAATCTATTCAGTACTTGTCAATAGTTACGGGCTGGTTGTTGAGCTGGATTTTAGCGCTTGTAGAGATGACAACCCCCCCTTATAACTCGCCTTTAGTAATGTTCATATTGACATGCATTGACATCATTACTGCCATTGGTACAGTAAAGAATACTAAAATTAAATTAAAGTCAACAAAAATACTAATTGAAGGAATTTACGTTATTACTACCAAATATATGTACCCCCAAAAAGTAATGCAGATCAACATACATATATGAAAATCAATAAGTTACGGTAGTTTTCTAAGCGTTGTTTAGTGTGGCACAAGCCCGAAAGTATGACCAAATAAGTCTACTGAAATAAGTCACATTTAAAATTTTATATATATATATATATATATATATATATATATATATAAAGAAAAAAAAATTCTATGAGCATAATTTTTCACGTTGTAATAAACATAGAAAATTCTCAACCGTTTTACATTTAAAAGCATAATGCCAAAATGACGGTAATGGATAACAACGCACAACTTTATATAAATACTTATATTAATGAACAACATATAGTTTTGTATTACTTGCACCCCTGAAGATGGTCTTGGAAAAAGGTCGAAAGTACTTAGGAAATTAAAATAAAAGAAATTTAAACAGCTATAGTACATTTCTCCCATCCTTTAACATCAATACACGGGAGGTTATTCGTGAGTATGAACGGATTTTATTAAAAATTAGCTCACACAATGTCTATAATTTATTCAATCAGACATGCCTAAAAGAGAATTTGCTGCCTAAATACACACAAACACACATACACACACGCGCGTGCACACACACATACACACATATATATATATTTGTTTGTAGGCCTTGAAGATTGAGAGCTGCTGTTTTTTAGAGCTCTCATGAAATAAAAATTATTACTTATGAGCTTTTAAGTGTTTGATATTATTTAATTAATGATAAATTTGCTCTGTCCTTTGACATAGATCTCTCCCTGGATCTATATCTATATACGGATTACCATACTGTATCATTACTATATATATATATATATATATATATATATATATATATATGTTAAGACGTGTCTCATTAAATAATTTAGACAAGTTTTGTCTACTTATTTTTAATAGGATCCTCTCGTAATTACGGACAATTTTCTCAGTAACCTTAAAGTAAAGAAAGAAAAATGTTGATGCATATTCATTTTATTCCGAGTACTTTCGACATTAGCACAATGTCATCATCAGGGTCTTTTTTTTTTCTAAGACAAAAAGTTGTGTTCGTTTTTCTAAAACATGTGTATATGTATATCTATCTGCATAAATATAGTTATATAGATAGGCATATATAATATTTATGTGTTTATATACAGGGTGTATCAAAAATTCTTTTACAAATGTTGGAGACGGGTTCCTCATACCAAAATAAGGACAAATGTCCATATAAACATATGTTCGCAAATCCTTTTGAGTTATTAAGTTTAAAGAAAGTTTACGGTAGACGGCGCTGTGTTGGCATGACGACTAGGTTACATTTGCCATTCGTGTACATTTGTAGCTGGTCTGTCTTCAATGTTTAATGTGTGTAGTAGTGAGTTAAATGATAAGCGTTCCATTTAACAATGGCATTATATTCATATCTTGAGCAGGCTGATATGATTTTTACAAACGGCGACACGAATGGTAATGGACGCGAAGCTGCACGTCTGTATATATATATATATATATATATATATATATATATATATATATATATATATATATATGTGTGTGTGTGTGTGTGTCTGTATGTGTGTGTGTGTATATCCGAAACTGCCCACATATGTTTATATATGTATGAGTCCCGACGGACGACCAAGTATATATATATGTCTGCATACATCGATGTTTGCGTTAGTACGATGACATAAGCGACGAAGTTTCCCCCACCACTTCCACAATAACACCAATACACGCAATCTACATGAACCCAAATTTTTTAAAAAATTAATCAGTTTGTCAGATGATCGCTAAAAGCGTGAAACCCACGGTCGCAAACTCACATCTATCCAACCAAATATATATATATATATATATATATATATATATATATATATATATATATATATATATATATATATATATATAGGTTTTGCAAAAATAATGACGTAATAATGTCGTTTTTTTACGTATTTTTTTACGTCAAAAACGACATTCTTACGTCATTATTTTTGCACCAGCCTAATATATATATATATATATATATATATGTGTGTGTGTGTGTGTGTGTGTGTGTGTGTGTGTGTGTGTGTGTGTGTGTGTGTAACTAATAATGACTAGTTTAGTAGATCTGAGAGCCGAGTTCGAATTCCAGTGGAATCTATTACATTCACTTACGTGCTAATAACCTTGGGAAAGGTATGAATCATTTTCTTCTCCTCCCAGCTATGGGTAAATAGCAGGACAGACATAGTTCTATAGACTTGGATGGCAACTGGTCTACCGCAGAATGAAATGGCAACCTACTGCAGGACAAAAATCCGTATCGAAAGATACATGATCACCTAAGCGTTTACCAAGCATGGCACATAACTGACTGAACCACGAAGTAGATATTTAGAAAGCTTAAGGTAACTTGACTCAAGGCTACAATAATTAGAAATCAAATGGTGTCAGTCTCAGGTATAATTGATTGTGTGATAAGCCTGCTTATCATCGGTCGAGTTAAATGTCATCTTTGTTAGATATGTCACTTTATGATGAAAAATGCCATGTGAATTAGATAAATCATTTTTTTATCATTCAGCGAAACTTGGACTTTATTTCTGAGTGACATGTCTCGACCTTTGCACTCTTAGGTTAAAGTTATGCTCTGCCAATAAAATTAAAGTCGAGCTCTCTGAATGTTATCAATGTTATCAATTTCCCTGACGTCGTCTTTATTTATATCTGAGGCCAACGTCTGTGTAAAAATTCAAGGAACAAACATAAGAACTGCACCATGAAAACATGTGACCCTCGAATGAATATGTACCGTTTGCCATACCGTTTACACTTGAATGCGACAAACCTACAAAATACTGACATCTACAACGTACAACTGACGTACAACTGTAGGAACGCATACATACATACATACTCCCCCCCATATATGTATATATATAAATATATATAACTGACGTATAACTATAGGGATATATATATATATATATATATATATATATATATATATATGTAATTTGTTAGTCAATAATGTGTAATTATATATATATACGTATGTAAGTATAATAATATGTAAGTCATTTCAAGTGCCTCTTTGGATGACGAAATAGTTAACTGAATACCAAAGCAACCAATGTCTTTGGGAAGCTTAAGCATCGCCTCTGGGATGTTCGTGGGATTTCACTGAAAACGAAAATAAGTGTCTATCGAGCAGTCATTCTCACCACACTTCTTTATGGGTCAGAATCGTGGACGCCATACAAGACGCACATCAATCAACTTGATGCTTTTCATAAACTCTCTCTTCGCTCAATATGCGGTTATACATGGCATGACAAAATCTCTAACCCTGATCTTTTCATCAAATGTGACGTCGTTGGTATTGAATCCTTTGATGTAATCACAGTTCAGATGGGCTGGTCATGTCATCAGAATGAGTGATGATCGGATGCCGAAAATCCTCATGTATAGCCAACTTTTTCATGGTAAGCGTAACATAGGCCGTCCTTGGCTACGCTTCAAGGACAAACCTAAATACGGTTTAATTGCTACAAGCATCCCTATAGAGGAGTTCGAACTTGCTGTTTAAAACCGAGGAAATTAGAGAAACACCTGCCACCGAGGTATAACTAACTTTGAAAAGAATCATCTGAAACATCTGAGAGAATTAAGAACCAACACTAAATCTCGGGCTAATACCCCAGCCCTTATGACGGTTAACCCTTCAGTATGCCCTTCGTGTGGATTTCTTTGCAAATCCCGTGCAGGATTGCTGTCTCATATGAAACAAAAACTTAACTGAATGACTCTCAAACGTCGAAAACGACGGGAGAGTCCATCATATATGTAAGGAGATTTAAATTATGTCTAAATTTCTGATATGAGGTGTTATCATTTTGTTTCGGCCGTTGTGCCCTCCGGCCTTCATCAGGTGTATATCGATCTGGTTAAATTACAGGGTATGAATTTCTGGTGAGAGGAATTATCATTATTTGCACAATTTACAAGCGGACTATTTTTGTTGCTATCGAAACGTTTCGGCCGTTGTGCTCTCCGGTCTTCATCATGTAAACTCGTTGACCATGTGTCCAGGGATATCTCGTCTAGCTCTTGATATAGTACAGCTGTTATTATTCATTCTGTTTCCGCTGAGTTTAAGTACACACTGCTCAACTCAGGACAGTTCTGCGTGAAGAACATGGAGCAATCAAAAGCATTGTACTAAATAAGGTGCGCGTTGTGGTGTAATGGATATCGGCTCGGAGTGAGAATTTGGAGAGCCGAGTTCGAATTCCAGTCGAGTTTGTTAGATTCATTTACGCACAAATACTTTTGGAAAATATATAGACCCATCCCTTCCCCCAGCTATGAGTTAAATAGCCGGACAGACTGAGTTCTTTAGCCTTGGGAGGAAACAAGTCTGAGAGAATAACAACCCTGAATTTAAAAGCTGAGGAGGGCCGTTTTGAATCTTGTGACGTGTACCAACCATTTCCTTATCC